GGCAACTTCAGATAAATGAGTCCTAAGGAGCAGCTCAATATATATAGAGGCATAAAGGCGCGTCGGGTCCGAAGGAGAAATTAAAACACCTCAACAGCGCGTGAGCTCGGTAGGAGAAAATACGCGCGCAAACCTCGAGAATAAGCGAGACGTTTCCACTTCTCAAGAAAGAAGGCGACCGCGCATAAATGGAAGTTTGACCGTCCGGGAATTCGAAGCGCCAGAGATCATGAACTGAGAAAACATACCGCCGGCTCGGTTATGTAACTGCATGAAACTCGCCGCTCATAAACAAAGACAACAAGCTGGGGGGCAAACTGTTGGGGTCGGATTTGGTTTCGTAAGAACCGAGCCAACTAAATAAGCTCCGAGAACGCCTCGGAAACATATCTGTCGGATACTTTGGCTCGGGAATCGTTCCAGGACACACACTCCAGGCCGATGACAAGTACCTCGGAAATCGCATCAAGGAATCATCCCGAGCCAGCCTTGAAAACACCTCGGGGACCCTGCAAGTAATCTTCGGAGCCAACCTTAGCAAGGCCTCGGGTGCTTTCAGGATACCGCCCCGAGGCGAACCTCGGAAACGCTTCGGGTAAACGATCTAACTCGCGTGAAACGAGCCGTTCAACTATAAACCGACAAGAGGTACCCGGCTCGGAAGAAACTTCACACTAAGGCCAAAACATCTCAAACCTAAGGGAAAGACTTAGACCCGACGCATGGTCAAGATACCATGTCCGAAAAACCTGGAAATGATATTTGGAAATCTTTAAGGATATTAGCAATAAAGAGAAAATCCCGCAAAGATCTTCAGAAGATAAAGATCTATCACCGCTGCCTCAAAGATAATAATGAATCTCCCAAGAATATCGCGAGGGGTGGCTCAAAGCCTTATATAAAGCGCCTCAAGGGACAAGTAAAAGGGACACGCACAAAAATGCTCTCAACCTCAGGCTATCAAAAACGCTCTGATTTTGAAAGCAAAAACAATTATTTTCATATTTCTAAACACTTGTACGATCAAATCCTCATTATTTTAATAATATAACTAAGAGCACCGTCCGCGGTAATCAACAATTCTGTTGTTCTTTGAGAAACTCACAAAGATCCGTTCTTTGAAGAAACCCTTAGTACAATTTCTCTTGTGCGAGTTTCGACTCTCACAGATGTCATGTGTATCATTTAATATAAGAACTAGAACCGCAAATGGATTTTAAAAGCTTAAGTAGTGTTTCCTTGTTGGAAGATACAAAGCGACCGACTCATACGAACTTCTGCTACACCATCAAAGCTTTGAGAAGCTAGAGAAGCTTAATTAGTGTTCTGTAGTCAAATATGACTAGATGTCATGTGTATGATTGAGTATAACAACTATAACCCCAATTGGATCTTAAAAGCCTAAATATTGTATCCTAGTTAGAAGATAAAACACAAAGACGCATACGGACTACGGCTACACCATCAAAGCTTTGAGAAGAAAGAAGAAGCTTGGTTTGTGTTTTGAAGTCAAATATGACTTATGTCATGGGTATGATTGAGTATAAAACTTAAACTGCAAACGAATATTAAAATCCTAACTATTGTATCCTTGTTAATAGATACAAAGACAAAGACTCATACCGACTACGGCTACACCATCAAAGCTTTGAGAAGCAAGAAAAAGCTTGGTTAGTTTTACGAGTCAAATATGACTAGATGTTATGTGTATGATTGAGTATAAGAACTTAAACCGTAACTGGATCTTAAAAGCCTAAGTAGTGTTTCCTTGGTAGAAGATACAAATCCAACGACTCATACAGACTTCGGTTACACCATCAAAGCTTTGAGAAGTAAGAAGAAGTTTGGTTAGTGTTTTGGAGTCAAATATGACTAGATGTCATGTGTATGAGTGAGTATAAGAAGTAGAACAGCAACGCGCTCTTAAAAGCCTAAGTATTGTATCCTTGTTAATAGATACAAAGAAAAAGACTCATACGGAGTACGGCTAACGCCATCAACACTTTGAGAAGGAAGAAGAAGCTTGGTTAGTGTTTTGGAGTCAAATATGTTTTGATGTCATGTGTATGACTGAGTATAAGAACTTAAACCGCAACCGGATCTTAAGAGCCTAAGTATTTTATCTTTGTTAGAAGATACAAAGACAAAGACTCATACGGACTACGACTACACCATCAAAGCTTTGAGAAGCAAGAAGAAGTTTGGTTAGTTTCTAGGAGTCAAATATGACTAGATGTCATGTGTATGATTGAGTATAAGAACTTAAACTGCAACTGGATCTTAAAAGCCTAAGTAGTGTTTCCTTGTTAGAAGATGCAAAGCCAAAGACTCATACAGACTTCAACTACACCATCAAAGTTTTGTTTGAGATGCAAGAAGAAACTTGGTTAGTGTATTGGAGTTAAATATGACTTGATGTCATGTGTAGCATTGGGTATAAGAAATAGAACCGCAACCCGATCTTAAAAGCCCAAGTATTGTATCCTTGTTAGAAGATACAAAGACAAAGACTCATATGGTTTACGGCTACACCATCAAAGGTTTGAGAAGCATGAAGAAGCTTGGTTAGTGTTTTGGAGTCAAATATGACTTGATGTCATGTGTATGATTGAGTATAAGAACTTAAACCGCAACCACATCTTAAAAGCCTAAGTAGTGTTTCCTTGTTAGAAGATTGATAACACTGTATTTTACTCATTTTTGGTATGTATTTATCATCATTTAGCTTTGTATTTGCTCATTGTATCATATCATTTTGCACTATTTTAGCTTATTTTGTACACCTAGGCATTTAGGATCATCTCGCATACGCATTGCATGTTTTGGTGTGTTTTCAGGGTCAGAAGGAGCTCAAAAGGGCTCTACTCGACACTCTACTATATCCAACAAGGAGGGAAGCAGCAGAGCATTCTACTCGATCCATTCACTCGATCCAAGCAGCCACAGAGGAGGCAGCAATTCACTCGACCCTCTTACTCGATCAAGACAGCCTTAGAAGAAGAAGCAGATTGATCTACTCGACCCTTCTACTCGATCCTCTACTCGACCCATTTACTCGACCAAGGGTGACTAACTCTACAAGACTTGTTGATCTATCAAAGCGTCTTTGGATCCTCCTCATTCCCCACTCAACCAGACATCTGAGCATACGGATAGGAGAGGAAGAAGCATCTACTCGATCAATTGATCACTCGGAGCATAGACACAAAGGAGCAGACTTTGCAGCACCCTCATTACTCGATCCCCAAGATCGAGCATTCGCCCAAACCGCCTCAAGTCTCTTGTTCTCTAGTGAATCTAGGGTTTCAACATTTTACTATAAATATATCACTTTGGGATTTGTCCAAAGGATTCTTTTATCCTTTAGTTTTTCTTTGTGTTTATGAATCTTCAAAACTTAATCACTCTTAATCTATTTCGTTTTTGCATTTAGTTGTTTAAGTAAAGTTGTTTAGCTTGTTTAGATCTACATTTTGGTATGATTTCAGTAATTTCTGGGTTTGTGTACTTGAGAATGTTGCTTGAGTAGTGATTATGGTTCTTGAGGATGGATTAGATTATGGTAATCTCTAGGTTAGTCAGGTGGTTAAGATTAGGTTAGAACCCTTCTGGATTCGCTTGGCCCCTATGCGATTTTCGGTGGCTAATGTTGAGATTCGATCATTGACGTCTAGCGTCCAAAAGACGTTCAAATGGATGTCTGATCTACGAATTCCAGAGATTTGTAGACTCGACTATGACATTGGCTTGTCTACTTATTGGCTTTGGTAGATTGTTACTTAAACCCTGCTCTTCTATGTTTCATCAACGGCAGTTGAGATTAGGAAGTGGTAGAGTTATGGGGATCTTTGTCACGACGGTGGATTGATCCAGTTTTTGAATCTATCGTCAAGGGTATCTACCTTTCACCTGTTAGCCACCTGATGAACCCTAGAGTTGCCCATATCAAAGAATCCATCCTTAGAACTTCTATTAGATTTATTTGTATACCCTGTTGATTGCACTTTCATTTACCTGTTATTTGTATCCCCTGTTGTTTGCATTTTAGTTACTTAAATTTGTCACATGTTGGTTCTACTCGACCCAATGATCGAGTAGGGCTCTTAAGTTCTCATTTTTACTTGTTTTAATCCTGACCTAGGATTGTTACTAGAAACCCACCATCATTATAATTTGGCTTGACTTAGTTGTTTCTGTACACGTCTTGATTGCTAGCAATAACGATGGACTGGATTGACACCCTCTATAGCTGCATCGACTTGTTAGTGTTTAAGGGGAATTGAACTGAACCTCACATTCAGCACATAAGTAGGCTTAAAAAACTTACATATCAATTTGGCGCCGTTGCCAATTCATTGTTGCATTGTTACATTCAAGATATTAGAAAAATTTAAGATCAAATTCTTTTACATTTATCAAGTTACTAACTCATCTTTTCGTCTGCTTGTTTTTGTGGTATAGGTACTAATCTTTGTGCATGCAAACTCGATCCAAAGGTTCTGCACACCTACTACCATTCAGAGACGGAATAGATAGAATAGCTCGTGAGTTATAAGAAACCAAAGCAAAGGCAGCCTGTGATCAGCAAAGACCAGCTGCTATGGATCAACAGAACAGACCAGTTGATGTTCAAGACCCACCTAATGTTGATCAACTAAGAAACATTGGTGCTGGTGATGCCCCAAGGAATCATCACCAAAGACAAGGGATAGTGCCTCCACCAGTTCAGAACAACAACTTTGAGATCAAGAGTGGTCTCATCTCCATGATCCAAGGAAACAAGTTTCATGGTTTACCTATGGAAGATCCCCTGGACCATCTGTGGCCTTACCAAGATCAATGGTGTCACTGAAGATATGTTTAAGCTCAGACTATTTCCCTTCTCTTTGGGAAACAAGGCACACCACTGGGAGAAGACTCTGCCCCCAGACTCCATCAACTCATGGGACGATTATAAGAAAGCTTTTCTTGTCAAGTTCTACTCTAACGCTCGCACCGCTAGATTGAGGAACGAGATCCCAGGCTTCACACAGAAAAACAATGAAACTTTCTGTGAAGCTTGGGAGAGGTTTTCAAGAAGGCTTCATTATTGAGCACACTCTACCAAGGAGCTTTACCAAAGATCAGAAGGCTAGGAGTTAGTCGAAAATCTAGCACAATCTGATGGGTGATACAATGAAGAATATGATCGCTCAGTGAGAGGAACTGGAGGAACAGAGGACAAATAGAGCAAAGATATCAAGGCTCTGAATGAAAAGCTAGACAAGCTGTTGCTGGCTCAAGAGAAGCATATACACTACATCATTGATGAAGAGCACTTCCAAATGCAAGAAGGGGGGAAAGATCAAACTGAAGAGTTGTGCTACATCCAGAACCAAGGAGGGTTCGACAAGGGCTACAACAACTAAATCCTAACCCAAACCTCTCCTACAGAAGCACTAATGTAGCTAACCCCCAGAATCCGCCTGAGCCTTTTGTTCAGTACAACCAAGGTTATGTCCCTAAACAACAGTTTAATGGAGGCTACCAACAGCAGAATCCACCACCAGGGTTCACTCAACCACCACAATAAGTCCCAGCAGCTCAAGATCCAGAAATTAAGCAACTCATTCAATAAATCATTCAAGGACAAGCTATTAGAGCTATGGCTTTTGACAAGAATGAAGCTAAATTACACAACAAGATTGATTGTTCTTACAACGATCTAAATGTCAAGTTCAAAGCTCTGAATTCAAAAATCAAGTATGTGGAGAGTCAATTTGCATCAAACTCTGCTACGAAGCATCCTCAGCAACTTCCAGGGAAAGCAGTCCAAAATCCTAAGGACTATGTTACTGCTAATGCTATCACCCTCCACCAAGAAGATGAGTCTCCACCAAGTAATCAGACTCTCAATACGAAGGACAGTATGATTCAAGAAGGGGGGATTCAAGTCAAATTGTTGCACCTGCCACCCAACAATTCATCTGGACTATAGAGCACACACCTTTGCTGAATACTCAACATTTTGGAAAAAATTTCAAAATTGAAAAACTCAAGAAGGATCAGAATCAAGAGATGATTAGCAGTGCCATCACTAAAAGAAACTTACAAAAAGAAAGTCATCCAAGAAAAGCTTGATGATCCTGGTTCATTCACTCTACCATGCTCTCTAGGACCATTGACATTCAATAGGTGCCTTTGTTATTTGGGAGCATCTGTTAGCCTTATGCCTCTCTCTACAGCTAAAAGGCTAGGGATCATGGAATACAAGTTCTGGAACTTTGCTTTACTCTTAGCTGATGGTTCTGTTGCACATCCTCACGGTCTAATAGAAAATCTGCCTCTCAAGATTGGAAATGTTGAGATACCTACATATTTTGTGGTATTGGACGTAGATGAAGAAGACAAGGATCCCCTGATCCTATGCAGACCATTCTTAGCTTCAGGTGGAGCAGTCATAGATGTCAGGAATAAAAAAATTAATCTGAACCTTGAAAAAGGCATCAAGATGAAGTTTGACATCAGAGAAGCTTCAAGGAAATCAACAACAGGAGGTAAGAGTTTTGGGATTCAGAACATGGATGTTGATCAAGAAACAGAAGCTGGAACCCCACCAAAAGTCAACTATACTTCTCAACTCAGCAAGCTGAAGAGAACTTTTGACCACAAGAAGAGAGCAATAGAAGGGTTAGCTCAGACTGAAGATCCTACAAAAGATGACTGGTATGAGATGAGAAAAAAATTTAAATGGCAAAGCAGAGTCATAGAGGGATTATCTTCAAGGGTGATGAAGCTGAAAGATCAACTATGGATGTTTGAAAAAAGAGTTAATAAGTTTTCAAATGGTATTGACCTAGAGAAGATGGAAATTGCACTAGCTATCAAGGAGAACGAAGATTTCACAACAGAATGGTTTGCACCAGAAGATCATAAAGGAGTTCACTTAGAGGAAAGAAGCCTAGAGAGCAAGTTGTTGAGTGAGGAGGAAACTCCTATTCCGAGTTATTCTCCTGGAGTGTCTAAACAGCCCACCAACCCCTTTGCTAAAGAAGAACACTTGATTCATGATTCTGTTGCTGAAGAACTCCTGGAGCTCTAGGTTAGATATAAAGGTCAAGAGGATACAATTGGAAAGTTAACTCATAAGATGGAAGAGTTAAACAGCACCATTCTGGAACTTCAAGAAATGGTCAAGGACTACCCCAACTTTGAAATTGAGGATTGGTCGAAGGAGCCTGGTTCAGAAGAAGAAGACTACTCTGCTGATCAGAAAAAAGCTTATTTTGAAGAAAAATCAAATGAGTATTCATCCTACCATATGTCAAGAGAGGATGCAGAGTATGATTCAAGCATTGAAAGTTCAACAACTGAAGATGAGGACTTCTCTGTTCCTCTCTTCAACCTTTTTTTGACTAAGCTCTGTAAGAGTCAAGCTTCGTGACTTAAAACAAGCTCACTTGGAAGGAAGTCTCATGTCTATCCATGTATATAAATTTCTATTTTTCTTTTTATTTTTGATGTTTTTGTTTAAGTGCTTCAGGTTTGTTTTAGTGACCTTGAGGAAGTCAAATGTCGAGTAAATTCAAACCAAGTCAAGAAAGATCTCAAACGTTGATCGAGTAGAATGAGGAGGAGTGTTTTGAGGCGTTGATTTGAATGACCAAATGAGAGAATCATCACCACCGTTTGATCGAGTGATTTCTTGCATTCTGGTCCGTTTGATCGAGTGCTTAAAGATGAAGCATTTCTCACCGTCCGATCGAGTGAAAAAACCAAAGAGACCCTCTTCGTAGACACCGACGCCTCGTGACCCGCCTCCATTGAAACGTTGTTGTCCCTTTGTCTTCTTGTCCCCCCCCCCCCATAATCACTTTGGTCCCCCCATTGCAATTCCCGAACTCAACAACCTCATCTCTCTACCTCCCATACTAAAGCATTCTCGAATCCTTATAATTCTCTCTATTTATCTCCTTCACTTCCCTTTCTTATCAAAAACTTTTCGTGATTCATTTGTATCCTCCATTGTTCAATCTCCTAACCTACTGAATTTTGGTTTTGAGTTTCTCCCACTTTTGTTCTCGAAGACAAGCAGGCGCTCGCTTTTGTCAAGGATTCGAAACAAAGCTCTCTCCCCATCGAAGAGGTACTCAACACCTTCTTCGCATGCACCAGCTCGAGGACTTTTAGAACCATCACCCATGGGTCGAGCAGGAGAGAACAAGCAAGTTTCAAGATCGACCACAGTGAAACAAGCCAAGAGGAGGAAGTGATGCAAAAAGAAGAAACTTTCAGCTCTCCCGCTGGAAATACTCGATCCCGAAGGTCGAGTAAATCTTCTGCAAGGGAATTCTCGAATTACAAGGCAGACATCACTCGAGGAAAGAAGCCCGTGGGGAGGAGGCTTGAACTGGTAGATGAAGACTCCAAAAAGAAATGGCTTCACCAGAGGAAGATGATCAAACTGAGAAAGGAGGTGGTGATGATTTGGAATCAGAGAAGTGTGCAACTCGAAACGAGTACTACAAGCTGCTGAAGCGCAATGAGTTTTTATGACTTCGATACCCTCATCCCGAGACCATGGAGAGACTCGGCATCTATGATGATGTAGACTATATGTTTAAGTAGTGCAGCCTGAATATTCACATGTTTCGGCCAATGGAGGGGTATGAGGAAGAGACCATCCAGTTTCTTTCATCCGTGGAATTCTTCTTATATAGAGAGTCAGAGGACAATGAAATCAGGCTAGGCGGAATTTTGGGATACTTGGAGTTCTGTGAGTATGACGTAGAGTATCGGCTTCCAATCGAGCAACTTGAGCTGATGTATGGATTTTCAAGCAGAAAAGACACGAGTCATCGTTTTGACAAGAAAGAGCTTTAGTCATTATGGGCCACGCTTGGGTCTAAACATGGGGTTTCATCCTCTAGGACCAAGAGCAACGAGATAAGGAGTCCGGTGGTTAGATACTTTCATAGGTCTTTAGCCAGTGCACTATTTGCAAGAGAGAGGAATGGTTGTGGGAGGAGTTGTGACCCCAATTTTGAGAGCATGCAATGTACCTCTACATTCAAAGTCGATTCCTCCGAGATGGATTGATATGCAACACCTTATCAATTCCAAGAGTTTTTGGTCGCAGCAGAAGAATGACCTATATAAGTATAGGTTCGATCACCCCATAGCAGGACAATCTATTTTTCTCCTCCCAAATCCCGCTTCCACTTCGATCAGAGATGGTGGCAACATTGAGTTTTGCCCACCAGTGGAGAACCTCTATACTTCAGGTGATGAAGATGTGGCGATGGAAGGAGTGAATGATGATGAGACCCCAATTCATCATTCAGATAATGAGGCAGAACCTATGGACGTGTCTTACGTAACACAATAGTTTTACTTTGAGGAGTACTCCGCACCGAGGCAAAGTAAATACTCAAAAGAAATTCATAAGCGCCTTGGTTTCCTCCAAAGCTGGTGTAAGTTCCACGACAAGGCTCTCGCGGCACTCAACAAGAAGTTTAACAATCTCCAACTCAAGATCATCTGCTCTTCATCAACTACGGCAATGCCACAGAACATGCCGTTTGGGAGAAGCGGATCCACTCGTCACGAACCTATGCATTTTGGTCCGCCTTCACCACCAAGATAGTCTTCATATGAGCCGAGGGAACACCATGCTGCACCTTCACCACCAAGGCAATCATCCTTCGAACCTAGAGAAAAGGAAAAGAGGAGCAACTTTAAAACGCAAAGAAGAACAAGGAAATCAGATGCTAGAGCAAGCCACTCTACTGCACCACTTGAGGAGCCACTCGATCAATAATCCGAGCAAAGGGTTGAACATCCAGCTAATCCAAGTTCAGCACAACCCGTTCCTTGGAGTTACACAAAGGAGAGTATGGATGATTTCGTCTCCCCCTACTTCACCTGACAACTGAGGTAACACCACCTCAACCATTGTATATACCATAGCATCTTTTTATTTTCCTTTGTGTGTTTTGTGTTTTGGTCTTGAATTCTCTTTCAGATTTTTATTACACAAGGGACTGTGTAATTTAAGTTTGGGGGAGGGTTCAAGACATGTTTAACATTGTGTTCTCTTTTCTTATTTCAAAT